GCCCTGCTGTCCCTGGCCTCCTGACCCCTGTCTGGCCTCCCTCCTGGCCTCCTGACCCCTGTCTGGCCTCCCACCTGGCCTCCTGACCCCTGTCTGGCCTCCCTCCTGGCCTCCTGACCCCTGTCTGGCCTCCCACCTGGCCTCCTGACCACTGTCTGGCCTCCCACCTGGCCTCCTGACCCCTGTCTGGCCTCCCACCTGGCTTCTTGACCGCTGCCCTCACTGGAGGCCTCCCCTTCCTCTGCTCTGGGCGTCCAGGAACGCGGCAGACTGGGCGCTGCTGGTCACGCCACCTCCCCCAGCTCTCCCACCTCCCCCACTTCTGCAGGTCAGGGCACTCACCTTTCCYGATGTCCCCAAAGAGGGACAGCACCCGCACTGGCTCCCTTTTCCAGGCTGGCAGGGTTTTATAGATCTCCTGGGGACTCGCCTGGTAGAAAGGCCGTCATTCAGCCCCTGGTCCTGCCCCCTCGGCGGGGGAGGCAGGCCTGCGGGGCTGTCCCCACCTCAGAGGAGGGAGCTGGGATCCCAGCCGAGACCGCTCTAACTCTTAGGCTCCACGACCCGGGAGAGTGCACAGCAGTGGGGACCCCGGAGGGCWGGGAAGTGTGACAGCTGCCCCAGGTGAGGGGTTCCCCAGGCCCAGACCTGCTGCCTGTGACCTGTGGAGCTGAGAACTGGCACCCTGAGTCCAGACGCAGAAGAGCCAGGCTGGGGACCCAGGACACAGACGTCTCTAAACTCTGTGTGCGGTATGGGGGGCACAAGGCCTGCCCTCCCCTTCCAGGATGCCGGCCAGAGACGGACAGGGCCGGTGGGACACCTGGCCAAGGTCAGATGCACGACTCTCAGGGACAGGACGGAGCAGGGACCAGGGGCTCCTGTGGGGACATCCAGGAATGCGGACATCCCATCAGGCGGGAAGCAGGCAGTGGGGGTCTGGCTGCCCTTGGAGGAGGAGGGGCGGCCGGAGCCAGGGTCCCGGCTCAGCTCTGTGTCTGCACAGCACAGCTGTGGCAGCTGCTGGCACCCTGGAGGAAGGGAAGGCCTGGGGCCTGCCCCCTCTGCCCAGGGTTGACCCCAGGAACCACCTCCGCCTTTCGCTGGCTCCACACCCTAGGTGGCATTTCGTCACATTTCTGAAGGTCACGTCGTGTGTGTGTGTGTGTGTGTGTGTGTGTGTGTGTGTGTGTGAGAAGTCCCTCCTGCAGCCTTGGAGCCCAGGGGTCTCCATCATAGGGACAGGAAAGCTTTCTGCTCTCAAGGTACCAAAGGGGGGCTCCGTAAGGCACACGCTGGCCTTGTTTTCTCAGAAGCACCTAAGACACCTGCTCACCACTACRAGCAAGGCACACCTGCACCCACGTGGCCTCCGTGAGACTGGAACACGTGTGCCACCGGTGTGCACGCATGTGGGCACGGCACAGGGCAGCTGGCACCTGCAGAGCCTGGTCTCAGCTGGACAGCTTCAAGACCCTCGCAGAAAAGAGCCCCAAGGCCAGAGTGGCCCCTGAGAGGAGGACCCCAGGGGAGGCAAGGCCACCCCGAATCAGGGCACATCCCTCCTGGCCTGTGGCACCCCAGCCCACCAGCGAGCCCGAGGCTGGGCAGGGAGATGGTGGCGCCAGCCTGGGGCTGCTCCCAGGAGCCCCAGCTCCCTGTCTCTTTGCAGAGGATGCGCCTGGTGGGCAAGCAAAGGCGGCCTCAACCCCGAGGAGCAGGAATGAGGACCCGAGGTCCGTCGAGCAGCTGGGCGGCACCCCGCTCTCTGCTGGCTCCCCGCAAGACTTTCGCCCCTTCCAGGGAAGCTTCTGGGGGCCGGCAACAAACCAGGACAGACTGCAGGGACACAGCTCAGCAGGACAGACTGCAGGGACACAGCTCAGCAGGACAGACTGCAGGGACACAGCTCAGCAGGGCAGACTGCAGGGACACAGCTCAGCAGGGAGTCCTGCTCAAGGTCCCAGCGGGGCTGGCTCCCCCTGGAGCCTGGAGGGAGGGGCACCGTAGCCCCCACCTCTGCTTCAGGAGGCTGCAGTGGCCCTGGGCACACCTGGGCCACGGACGCGGGCACCCGCCTCTGCCTCAACCTCACGGGGCCTCTTCATCTCTGGAATCTCCCTCCCCTTTAAGACATCATCAGTCTATGCGTCTGGGGCCTCCTTGAATCCACAAGGGTCTCATCCTCAGATCCTTCCCCAGACGTCATGTGCAGAGACCCTATTTCTGAATAAGGCTGCGTTCAAGGCACCCAGTTTAGGACTTTGAGGACATAAGTCTGCACCTTCCATGAGCCCTTGGTCCTGTCTGCTTGGTGTCTCTGGCCTCAGCTGTGGGCAGTGCTGTGTCTGGCTCGCTGTCCTGGTGGGACCAGGAGCCCACGTGGGCCCRGAGCTGGCAGCCACTGTAGGGCTCAGAGACTGCAGAGGGCTGCCAGTTGGCTCCCTGGGTCCCTCCTTCGTGACTGTCGATGAGCAAGGCTCATCCTTGCTTGTAAGAGACAAAATCACCATGCTTCACTGATTCTGAAGAAATGGCCCGTCTGGTGGCACAAAGCCTGAGCCCCGTCCCTGTCCCTGTCCCTGTCTAAACCGATGGGCACCGTGGAGCCAGAGGAAGCCACAGCGGCCTGCYCCTTACCACCTCGCGATCCTGGAAGGCCTTCAGCCGCGCGCGCCACTTCCTCCTGCGCTGCAGCAGCCCACTGCGCGAGAAGGGCAGGCACAGGAAGCACACCCAGCTGCTCATGGCGTGGATTCTGCCCGCRGTCCCCGGGCCCACCAGGGTGTCCACACACTCCAGACAGTAGCACCTACAGAAGGCAGAAAACCACCGTGACCCAGGTGACACTGCCCCCCGGGACCTTGGAGGGACCTCCCTCCGACTCATCTGAGAAAACCAACRGCCCTGCCCTTCTGTGCTGCCTGGGGGAGGTGAGGCCACAGGCTAGAGGGGACCCTGGTCCTCCYGGGGACTCGGGGACTTGGAGTGATAAAGGACGGCAAGGTCCAGAGACAATGACAGTTATCTGAGGATCCCCTAAGCCGCCTGGCCTCCCCCAACTCTGCAGGAGCCGCCGCCGGAGCAGAACTCAGGGCCAGGCTGTGAAGAGCCCCTCGCGGACCCGAGTGGGGAGCAGTGGATGCAGCCCAGGCCGGAAGGGCAGGGGTGAGCATGCCCCTGTGCGGCCCTGGTCATGACCCTCTAGATGGTCAGTGGAAGAACAGCAGTATCTTGGCTGGGACAGAGGCCTCCGGACACCAGTCCACGTGCCACGGCTGCTCGCCATGGAGGTGTCTGAGAGGGACATGGAAGGGGGGAAGCATTGTTTTGGGAGGCCCCATCCCCCCACGGGAATAGTGGAGAAGAACAGGTGCCACCCCGGGGCCAGCCTCACCGTGTGCAGTCCGGGTTCTCGCAGACGAGCAGCGTCTCCCCCGAGCCGCAGATGGAGCAGGAGGACTGGTAGCCGTCCTCGTCGTACTGGAACAGGGCCTCCAGGAACCTGTCCTGGGCAGGCAGAGGGGGCTGTTGGCATCCCCCTCCTCCCAGAGGTGGGGCCCCTGCTGGACCCCYGCTTACCTTGCACGGGGCACAGATTCCCCCCTCAAACAGGGGGTGCTGCGTGTGCACCTGGAAGCTTCCACAGCAGAGGCAGATGTCTAAAGAGAAACAGAGCGAGGGGCTCGGTAGAGAAAGAGCTGTGGCACCCGGACAGGGGGAGGGACGGCAGGCCCGGGGGAGGGCGACCGTGTTCATGGATCGGACGCCTTAATGTTACAAAGAGGCCAGGTGGGAGCCGTCTCAAAACCCCAGCTGGCTACGCCGCAGAGTTTGACACCTGATCCTGAAATGTGTACGGAAATGCAGGAAATCTGCAATCGGCCAATCCACAGGGCCAGAGGTGCCGGGGACAGGCAGGGGACAGGGAGCGGGGACAGGTTTTCTTTTGGGGATGATGAAGATGCTCTAAGATTAGGCAGTGGGGAGGCTGCAGGACCCTGCTCTGTCAGCACCCTCAGAACCACTCCACTGTGCGCCTTCACGAGGTGCAGGAGTCGGGGTGCAGGTGGGGGAAGCACGCAGCACCCGCAGAGCGCCCAGCCTTCTTCCGGAGGCCCCAGAGGCCGAAGCCGCCTTTCTCCATCCTCCCTGCGGCCTGCGGCAGGCGGTGGGGAGCTCACCTTCTATGTTTCGCTGGTTCACAGTGACTTCATAGGCCATGAGATCTGCAAAGAAGGCAAGAGTGGCCCCTCCCTCCTCCTATCTCCTATGGGGTACCGCCACAAAGGAATGCCACTAATGTGTCTCCTGAGGTCACAGGGGCTGGGGACCTCACCCCCCTCCCCCGCCTTACTGTGGCCACCTCACCCCCCTCCCCCGCCTTACTGTGGCCACCTCACCCCCCTCCCCCGCCTTACTGTGGCCGGGCCGCCCAGCTGGGTGGAGGAACCACAAGTGGATATTCTAGATGGTCCAGGCCTGGGGGCAGCACCCTATGGGGAGGGTCCAGTAGGTGGACTAGAGCCCTCACCTCTGCCCAGCTGGACTGAAGAGGAGGATGACTGCCCGCTGGAGCCCACCAGGATGACATCCATGCTGTGCTCAGCCTCCAGGTCCAGGACTGGGGCCACCGAGGGGAGGGACACAGGACCACAGGCAGAAGGAGAAAGCCATCAGCTGTGAGCCTCTGACAGGAGCCCCAGTGGGCCCAGCCCAGCGGTGGGGAGACAGAGCACCAGCCATGCCAGCCACCCACCCCCACTCCATGACCCCTATCCACCCAGCCAGCCAGCTGGGTGGCCCCTGGGTGCCCCTCACTGGCCCAGCTAGGCCAATTCCTCACAAGGGACCAAGGGACCAAGGCACCAACGTCCCCCGCAGCCCCGGGCTGCCTCTGACCCCTCAGGGACCCCAYGCTCCTGCCTCCCAGTGTCCCCACGCCCCAGCCAGGGGCCCCTGGGACAGTCCTCCCAGCCTGATGGCCGCGGGAGGAAGAAGGGCCCTCCGGTCTCACAGGGCTGCTGCCACTGCGCCCCGTCCAGGAGTCTGTCTGGGTCCGGGTCAGAGCCCAGGCTGTCTGGAGTCAGGGTCCCAGAGGGGGAGAGGGCCATGAGGTCRGGCCACAGCGCCTCCCAGTAAGTGGGGGACTGTCCAGGACCCAGGTCCAGGGGCGGTGGGCAGCTGAGAATAGGTGTGAGGAGTAGGCTCAGGCCTGATGCGGTGGGGTATGGGGAGGGGTGAGGGGCTTCTGCAGGGCACAGAGGACCCCGTGGGGAATTAGGGGGCAGGAGAGATTCCTGGGGGGAGGGGTCTCCAGAGTGGGTGGGATTACAGCTCAAGAAGAGCGGCTGGAGAATGGGGGTCCCCCGCAGGATGGGGGTGATGGTGGGGGCGGGGTGCTCGGGGGCGGGCGCTGGGGGCGGGGCTTGGGCAGCTCAGTGCGTGGGAGGGCTCCAGGGCTGGGTGGGCTGGGGTGGGGGCAGCATGGGGGTGGAGCTCCGGGAGCAGGGCTCAGAGCTGGGTGCAGGTGGGGGGCTAGGGGAGGGGCGGGAGGGGGTCCGCGGTGGGGGCTGTGGAGTGGGGGTTGGAGCTGGGGTGGTGCCGGGGGTGGGTTAAGTTGGACTGGGGCCAGGACCGAGGAGCAAGGGGTGGGGGCTGGGCGAGTGGAGGGAGGCCTTGGGAGGGGCCTCGATGGGTCCCGGTTGGGGGTCAGCCCGGCYGGAGCACCACTTGGTGGTAGCCGCAGGTCACTGAAGTGGCCCTGCAGTGGRGGAAGGTCCCGGCAGCCTAGCGCCCACCTGAGGAGGGCTGAGCCGTGACTCCCACCCGGTACCRACCGGCGTCACTGTGCAGAGAGGCCCTGGAGGGCAGCTCCTGGTGAGAAGGCCTGTGTGGGATGTGAGTGGGTCCCCTCCCTGGTGGGCCTCCCCACAGCCCTGTCCCTGCCAGTCCTGAGAAAAGCTCGAAAATCCCAGTGAGGGTCCTTGGAAGCCAAGGTCCCTGACACAAGGCGTCTGAGCAGCAGCCCCGGCCAGGAGCAGCCACACGGAGACCTGGCAGGTCGTGTGGGTCCGGGAGGGGACGTGAGGGGGAACCAGGAAGTCCACGTGAAATCGTGACCGTGACCAAGTGAGTGAAGAGGTACTGCTTCCAGAGGGCGTCTCCGACAAGAACCCAGTGCCACCCTCAACGCCGTCCCCATCTCCTGGCTGGGATGGGACTGTGCCCTGGGTGAGACCCAGGATGCAGCTGTACAAAGGCCCTTCCCACCGCTGGTCACCTGCAGCTGCCCCGGGCTGGGGCRCCATCAGACCCACTGGAGGCGCCTTGCTGAAGCCCCAAGAATCCTGCCACCACCCCTCATGACGGAACCCAACCAGAGCCTAAGGGGGCCACCTTCYCGGTACATTTCACCAGCACCGGGTGGGGCTGTTCTATGAAAGGCCAGTTTTATTATTTGAGTTACACTGTTCCATAGTCCAATAATCAAAACTGGGAAAGTAGAGCCCTAGAGATGGTGTTGGATTCCAGCCCGCCAGCCTCTGTGCTGTGGAATGAAGTTAAGTCTCCAACTAGGTGGTGCTCACCTGCGATCCCAGCTACTGGGAGGCCAAGGGCGGAGGATGCAAGTTCGAGGCAAGCCTGGGCCMCGTAGAAAGACCTGTCTCAGGCCAGGCACAGGGGCGCAGGCCTATAATCCCAGCAGCTCTGGAGCCTGAGGCAGGGGGATGGCGAGTTCAAAGCCAACCTCAGCAAAAGCGAGGCCCTCAGCAACTCAGTGAGACCCTGTCTCTAAATAAAATACAGAATAGGGCTGGAGATGTGGCTCCGTGGTTGAGTGCCCCTGAGTTCAATCCCCAGTACCCCCCMAAAAAATAAAAAATTAAAAGGACTGGGGATCAGTAGAATAAACCGGACACAACTTTCCTATGTTCGTATATGAATATGCATCGTGTACAGCAAGAATGGGAAGTTATACTCCAGTACGTATAATAAGTCAAAATATGGGCTGGGCTGGGGCTCAGCGGTAGAGCGCTTGCCTAACACGTGCGAGGCCTTGGGTTCGATCTTCAGCACCACATGAAAGTAAAATAAAAGTATTGTATCCATCTGCAACTAGAAAATAAAATATTTATAAATAATAAGTCAAAATACGTTCTACTGTCATGCATATCTAGAAAGAACAAGTAAAAAATAATTTAAAAAAAAGGACTGGGGATGTAGCTCAGTGGTACAGCACCCCTGGTTCAATACCCAGCAAAAACCAAACACACACATAAACTAAGTCTCTCTTCTCTATTTTTTTTTTCTTTTTAAGCCCTGGAGTATTTGTCTTTTTTTTATTATTATTGATTTGAAAGTGCTCTTTATGTAGTAAAGACACTAAGACATATAGTTCTGACATCCATGTCACCAATACTTCCTTCAGCTTGTCAACCCTTTAATGTCTTGTGGTATTTAAATGGACGTATGCGTTGCTCTTTGCTCCCATGGTTCCCACCCTTCCTGTCAGAGGAAGAAGCTTCTCTCCACCCCGAGGTAATGGGCGCACTCACCTTTATTTCCTTTAAGCATCTGAGCCTGATTTTCTCTTCCMGTCCTTGAGCCCCTGTGTGTGTGTGTGCGGGGCTGTTTGCTGGCAGGATGGTGCAGTGGAAGGCTTCAGCGCCTTCTCAGCCTCCAGAGGCAGCGCCTCCCRCCAGGCCCTGGCGAGCTTGGGTCAGAGACCTGTCTCAGCGCCCTTCCCGCTGCGCTTGCCTGCTCTGTGCTGCATCGGGCTATCTGCTGCAGTTTTCCCAAGAATGAGAGAATCACATGCTGAAGACAGMAGTGTCCTTGTTGATTTGATTGGAATTGCATTTGCTGTCTAGTTCGTTAAGAAATAACCTGTGTTTTGAGAAGCTAAGTCCAGGACTGTGGTATTTCCTTCTTCTTTTATAAAAATGTGAGTGCTTGGCCTGGTGAGGCTTGGGGCTGAGGGCAGGATGGCTTGAGTCCAGGAGTTTAAGACCAGTCTGAGCAACATAGTGCCTTAGACACCTCCCAGGGATTCAGGAGGCTGAKATAGGAGGATGCCAAGTTTGAGGCCAGCCTCACCAACTTAGTGAGACCATCTGCTTCAAGATAAAATAAAAGCCAAGCACAGTGGCACAAACCTGTAATCCCAGTGGCTTGGGAGGCTGAGGCAGGAGGATCACAAGTTCAAAGCCAGTCTCAACAGTGGCGAGACACTAAGCAACTCAGTGAGACCCTGTCTCTAAATACAATTCCAAATGGGGCTGGGGTGTGGCTCAGTGGTGAGTGCCCCTGAGTTCCATCCCCAGTACCAGGAAGAGAGAGAGGGAGAGGGAGAGGGAGAGATAGAAGGGTTGGGTTGTAGTTTGGTGCCAAAGTCTGCCTGGGTTCAACCCCAGTACTTCAGGAAAAAGGAAAGGAGCCCTGCAGATTTCTTTTTATCTTTATTCCTAGTTATTCTGTTTTGATTGGCATTATAGTATTTTCCTATTATTTTTTCCCTCTTTTTAGYACTTATTTTTCGTTTTAGGTGGACACAATATCTTTATTTTACGTTTATGTGGTGCTGAGTTTCGAATCCAGTGCCTCATGCATGGTAGGCGAGCGCCCTACCACTGAGCCACAACCCAACCCTTATTTCCTATTTTTAACCTGAAGTCAGTATACATGTTGTTGACGTTCACACCCTACTTTGTGTACAGATTAAAGTGCCTGTTGCTAGAGAAGAGGCCAACCTGGCCTCCTCCCTGCCTCCTCCCTGGCCTCCACCCTGGCCTCCACCCTGCCTCCTCTCTGCCTGCTCCCTGCCTCCTCTCTGCCTGCTCCCTGCCTGCTCCCTGCCTCCTCTCTGCCTGCTCCCTACCTGTTCCCTGCCTGCTCCCTGCCTGCTCCCAGGGGTGTTTTGGTGCTTTCCACCCCAACCCTCAGGACCTCAGGGCCTTCCCTTCCAGCCCTGAAGCCCTTCTTTGTTCTCATGGCTTCATGGGACAAGAGCAGGTGGGACCTCCCGTCCCTTCATGCTGTCCCCTCTCCCCCAGGTGAGGAAACGGAGGCTCTCATTGCAGCCCACCTGCTCTGGGGCCTCTCAGAAGACCTGAGGCCCTGTCCCATGGAGGCCCCGGGTGTGTGCCCGCTGTGGTCTGGGCCTCGGAGGCTTCTAGTCCTGCCGTTAGGGCTGGCGGAAACCCCCACCGGGGAGTGGAAAGTCCAGAATTCTACAGGGGCCGCTTGCTGACCCCCACCGGGGGCCAGGTGGCACCTGCCCACTAAAATAGGCTCCAGGCCCGGCCCGCCGCACCTGCAGGAGGCCAGGGCTTCCCAGAGAGCCCAGGCAGACTGGACCTTGCAGCAGTTTCCAGCTCTCCCGTCTGCTCCTCTGGCTGGGGCGTCCTCACCTGGGAGGGAAAGTCCACCAGGCTGAGGGGTGGCCTTGGGGGTGCTGGTGCGMGGAGGGGGCCGGGCTGAGCCCACCGAGTCCCGTGGTGCCTTCCTGTGTGAGGTCTGGGGCCCACGGGCCCAGGGATCCCATCAGTGAGCTTCGCTGTGGCCAGACCTGGGCCCACCCTCTAGGAAGTGAGCAGAAAGTCCCAGATGGGCAGGAGTCACAGGCCACGGGGTCTGAGTGGCCTCAGCGCGTGCTGGAACCCTTTAACCCAGTGCCCAGAGGAGAGGGCAGGAAAGGCCCACAGGCAGCAGCCTCCGCCCCGGCTGGGGAGGAGAACCTGGCTCTTGGAGGGGCAGCCCAGGTGGGCCATGGCCAAGCGTCCCCCGGTGTCTGCCGCAGGCACAGTGCAGGGTGTCACCCAGCTCCACACCASAACCCAGAGCACTGGCCTTGGGCTCAGAGCCCTGAGGTGGGCGGCAGAGGGCCTGTTCCCAGCCCAGTGTCCGGAAGGTTCTCTGGCTCCAGCCCTCCCTCCCTCCTTCCTTCCTCCTCCTTCCTCCTTCCACCTTCTTCCTCCCTCCCTCCCTCCTTCCTCC